CAATCTGGCAAAGGTTATAAAAATCAGTGAGTTTTGGGGGGAAGGGGCACACCGCCTTATCACAATAATGAAAACCAACAATGGTTAACCCTCAAGTAGCTACTCTGTACTAGGCACTGTTCTAAGTGCTTTATCGATATTAACTCATGAGAGAGTATCACTCTTAGTCACATTCTGAAGATCAAAAGCACACAGGGATTACTTAATTCGACCAAAGTCACAAAACAAATAAATTCACAGAACCAGAAAATGTAAATTAATACAGTCCTTTCGAGGGCAATTTTGCGATATTCATCAACAACCTTAAAATGTGCTGCTTTTGACCTGGAATTTCAGTGCTGAGACACTATTTTAAAGAAACAGATCTGGACACCACCTGTCGTCACAGAAGACTTCACTTCCATGCAGACATACCGTTCCGGACTGAACACATGCATTTATCTCTACTCTCTCCCAAATCATCACTAAAATCAGAGTTAAAGGATAAAAAACATTTAAAGTTACAAGAAAAAAACAAAACAAAACAACAGAAGAATCAAGGGAGAAGACAAAGATCAAAAAAACTGTGGGAGATGACAAGCAGAGGACAAAAGGCAGTAAGTGACTAAGCCCATGACAGGAAGATGACTGGACGCTGCAGACAGCCGACAGGCTCCCCAGAGCCCCAGAGCAGCTTAGGAACTCAGAAGAGCAAGTACTACGGTTAACAGAAGAATCGGTCATACACATAAAAAACAAGCAACAAAAACACCTCTGACTTTAGAGGAAACAAAAAGTGGTACACAAAAGCAAACGCAATCACGTGATCATGTTACTTGGCTTGACAACTAACACTATTGATATATTTGCAATAATGCAGACACGACCAAAGCTGCACTGAATCTTCACTTTTCTCTAAGTTAATAGATTCTAAAAATAATAAGTCAAGAAATAATTTTGTTATTTAGAAATATGAAGGAAAATACCAGAAGAAATTGGTTAAGAGTCGAAAATGACTCCAGGAAGACATGTGGCAAAGAAATGCTATTTTTAAGTTAATTCTTATAATATTCCTTGATTTCTTATACTATATAGATAATATAAGAAAGTAGTTTAAAAAATAATTTGTTCCAAGAAATTACAGAATATTCAGAAAAACACAAATAAGACATAAATCCCCTATAAATCTACCAACCTGAGATAATCCTTGTCTATATTTTGGTATCATGCAGCCCTGCTCTACACCTATATTTAATCTACATATTCTAGAAAATTAGTCTCCTCTTAACTACACTGTTTAGTAATCTGCTGTTTTCACTTAAATTTTTATGGGCATTTCCTCAGTAAATACATATATATTTACAACATGAGGAACAAAATGAGTACCCTAGACCAAGTTTTTACGTGAGCTGAAGTAAACACTTTTGGGATAGAGTTAGTCATGTCAATTAAAAGCATATGAATTCAATAATGGATTTACTGTTTAAAATGGAATGGGGGGGTTGCCGGGATGGCACAGTTGGTTAAGTGACTGACTCTTGGTTTCAGCTCAGGTCGTGATCTCAGGGTCATGGGATCAGGCCCCACGTCCGGCTCCACGCTCCTCTTGGAGTCTGCTTGCGATTCTCTCTCTTCATCTGCCCCTTGCCCCTGCTCATGTGTGTGTGTACACACTCTCTCTCTCAAACAAATAAGTCTTAAAAAATAAAAATAAAACTGAGTGGGAATAGATTTCTTTAGAAAAAATAAGGTTAAGGATAATGTAACACATTTTCTATATCTATATCGTGTAACTAGTAAAACATAAAAACAATGTTTACATTAGAAATTAGTTTGCTTTCTCCAACAAGAGTTCCTTCGCCTGGAAAAAATATTTTCACAACATATTACTAAATTAAAAAAAAAAAAAAGCATACACAGTATAATCCCTAATTTTTTTTTTTTTTTAAAGATTTTATTTATTTATTTGACAGAGAGAGACACAGCGAGAGCGGGAACACAAACAGGGGGAGTGGGAGAGGGAGAAGCAGGCTTCCCGCCGAGCAGGAAGCCCAATGTGGGGCTCGATCCCAGGACCCTGAGATCATGACCTGAGCCGAAGGCAGACGCTTAACGACTGAGCCACCCAGGTGCCCCCCTTATTTCTTAAAATGTAAACAGCACAGGGGGAAAACAAACCTGCAAAGACATACACCAAAATATCAACAGTAGCTCTTTCTTAGTACTACTATGGATGATCTTTATTATTTTCTTCCTAATGCTTTTCTAAATTTCCTTAATTGCACTGATATTGCTTTTGGAGTCAGAAACTTCTAAAAAACGATGCTATAAGTGAAAGACAGAGAGCAAGGGTGTGAACAGTTCAAACGTGACCAATTTGGTAGCTAGACTTGTTTTTACATCTTTTGTCAATTCCCTGAACACACTTCCATACCATCCTGAAACTCTCCTTGCTGCTGCCTGGTCTTCTGTTCTTACAGTCACCAGTTCCCGAGCCTCCACTGTGCACCAGGCACTGCTCTAGTACCAGTGATTCAGCAGGGAATAAAACAGATGAAATCTCTCCTTCTTTGACAGGGAAGACAGATACTAAGACACTTGGAACCAAAATACACTTTTAGTGGCCACACAAACATGAAAATACAACAGACACACATATGCTCCTACTTTCAAGTGTGAGGAAGAAAAAGTAAAGGACAGGTGGGAAGAGATCACTGTTTTAGTCAGGGCGGGCCTCCCGAGGAGGGAGCCCAGAACCGAATGAAGACAGCTGGCCATGCAAAGATACAGGAGAAGAGCTAGGTAGGGGGAGCAAGTGAAAAGGCCTTGAGATGGCCTCGAGCTTGTACAGAACAGCAGGGAAAAGACCAGTGTGGTCAAAGTGGAATGAGCAAGGGTGAGGGCACTGGGTGATGCATAAGTAGGCAGGGGTCAAATCATGTAGGGCCTTACAAGTCCAAAGGGGTCCTGAAATTTATTCTAAAGGTGATGCAAAGGCACTGAGTTTTAAAAGACCACTCTGCCTGCTACATGGATAACAGATTGTGTGAGGGAATGCAAGGAAGCAGGAAAACCTTTGAGGAGACTTTACAGGTGTTCAGGCAAGAAACAATAATGGCCTGGACCAAAGTAGTAGGGTGAGAGGATGAGACATGGTCTGACATGGATATACCTTGATGGGGAATCCAATATAACTTGATGACTTACCATCAGGAATGAGGAATCATAGGTGATTCGTAGGTTCTTGGCTAAAGCAACCAAGTGAATGGTGGTACTATTTACTGACTGGGCTGACTGGTAGAGAAGCAAGTATGTAAGTGGCAGAAATCAAGAGACCTGAGGCGCCTGGGTGTCTCAGTCAGTTAAGTGTCTGACTCTTGGTTTCGGCTCAGGTCATGATCTCAGTCAGGGTCGTGAGATCGAGCCCCGCATTGGGCTCCGTGCTCAGCTTGGAGTCTGCTTGGGATTCTCTCTCTCCCTCTGCCCCTCCCCCCACACTCTCGCTCGCTCTCCAAAATAAATAAATAAACTCTTTAAAAAAAAAAAATTCAAGAGACCCATTTCAGACATATTAAGTGTGAAATGACCACTGGACATTCAGGCCAAGATGTCGAGCAGACAATTTTACCCAGTACATGTCTGTAATCCATGTGTAAGTTGGGGATGAAGAGGTGTAACTGATATTTAAAGATATGGGACTAAATGCTATCTCCTAGGGTGTGAGCCCCAAAGTCTGCTAACTTTAGAGGTGGCTAAGGGGAAGGGGAGTGACCAGTGAGGTGTCCCAGAAGCCAAGTGAATAAAGTGTTTCCAGTACCAGGGTCAGAGCTGCTAGGAAGTAGAGCAGATAAGATAAGGACTGAGAACTCGTGACCTTGATAAAGGGGGCTTCAGCAGAGTGCTGGAAGAGAAAAACCGGTTTATGTTCAAGAGAGAACTGGAAGAGGGGCACCTGGGTGGCACATTTGGTTAAGTGTCTGACTCTTGGTTTCAGCTTAGGGCATGATCTCAGGATCGAGATCAAGCCCCGTGGTAGGCTCTGCGCTCAGCACGGAGTCTACTTGAGACTCTCTCTCCCTCTCCCTCTGCCCCCCCCGCCCTGGCTCTCTCTCTCTAAAATAAATAAAAATAAATCCTAAAAAAAGAGAGAGAGAGAGAACTGGAAGACAACAGGTAACTCTTTCAAGTCATATGTATTGCTTTAGGGACAAGAGTTGACCACTGTTTCTCTAGCATCTTGCTAGCTCTCGGCACAGAGTACATGTGAAGCAAGCATTACCAAATAAATGCTGAATCTAAAAATGCCCAGTATTTCAAACCATATTAAGAAACCTGAATGGTTGAGAGCTAGAGAGCATCCTGACCATCCCATTCTGTTCCTAACATCATTCTTTATGTTCTTCCCTCCATAAAGAGGATGAACTACAAAAACTTGAGTTTCCCCGGGGCACCTGGGTGGCTCAGTCGGTTAGGCATCTGCCTTCGGTCATGATCCCGGGGTCCTGGGATCGAGCCCCACATCGAGCTCCCTGCTCAGCAGAAGTCTGCTTCTCCCTCTTCCTCTGCCCCTCCTTCCTGCTTGTGCTCTAACTCGCTCTCTCGCTCTCAAATGAATAAATAAAAAAATTTTTTAAATGACCCTGAGTTTCTCTTCACCTTTTATAACTTGGTACATATCCAGGACCAAAAGGTAATTAAGTAGCATTGTGACTGGTAGCTGAACCAAGAGAAAAGAAAAAGGCCTTCCCTTTCTGCTCCCCAATTTTCCAGAGATTATACATAATAAAGTCAACAAATTATAAACATGTCACCAAACGGTTAAAAAAGCAAACAGTGGTCAAGTTATTCAAACAAAACATCTTATTCCAAACCTTCTGCTGAGATCTTAAAAACAGCCACTTAATTCCCCAAATGGGTAACTGGCCCTCCCCCAATTCAGGTACCTCGCCATCTACTGCAGTGTTAAGAGTGAAGCTCTGAGGCAAAAAGGCAATGTCCAGAAAACAGTCAGGTTTCCCTACCTGACAAAATGTCTTCTGCTAATTCCTTTTGTCTTTCAATTTTTTCCTCTAGAGTTGAAATGCAGAATTCATAGCCAGCAAGAGCAAATTCCTGTCTGTAAAGCAAAGATCAGCAATCGGCTGTTCACCTTTTTACAAACTCCTTGTTTATTCGCATTTTCCGGGCTTGGGTGTGAGCATTAGCAACACAGGGAGTGTACGACGGGAAGAGGGAATGCTGCTTAAAGTTTCTAAGGAGTCTCAATCTGCCATTTTGCAGAAGTTTTTAGTCACCCATGTAACCTAGCTTAAGACAAAAAAAGCTAAGAATGCTGCTATAATCTTAGTAAAGGACAGAACCAGTGGCTTCCACCATCTCCCAGCAACGGTTTCCAGTGAGTCAGTTTCTCCATTTGGGAAAGCCTTACACCCACTCAAAGCAATACTGATATGAACGGAGGCTCAGGCCACCTGCACCAAGGATGCTGACTACAGATCTCATGCAATTTCTGGAGAGGTTTACTAGCTTTGTTTATTAGCTTTCCGACCTGTTAGGTCTTCAGCGGGGAAGCTTCTTTTACATACATGGAATTCCTGGCTATGGCACTAGAAGGCACTGAGCCTGAATCTAGCCCGGGACCCTCGACCAATTGGAGAGGACATGCAAACATCAGGCAGACGGACTCTGGAGAGAAAAAGTGTCAACTGCTGGTTTCTAGAAAGACATGCACGGACACAGCAGAAATTCCTTCTCCATCCAGAAGCTCAGCCCTGGTTCTTGTCTTCCGTGGTGGCTCTGGTTTCTTAGCAGAAATGGCACTACCAAGCTCGCCCCTTCTCCTCTAGTGCTTTGCCGGGGAGAAGAGATGACCCCACTGCTGTACTCTGTTCCCAGAACAGAAGCTTCTCCAGACCAAACTTTGGCAGGAGGGACCCTATCCAGCCGGGACTTGGAGCAGGAGGAGGCTGCCCACTTGATGTTTCTAGTCAGAGCAAAATGTCTAGAAACAATTCCCTTGCTAATATTAGCCTTCCTAAGCCCCAAGCCTAGTTATATATATTCTGGTCTCATGTTTCTCTTAATAAAACTACACGAAAAAACTACTTTTGACAAGCATACAGAGTAACTAACAGGCTACTTATCAGGGGCTACTACTTTCACTTGTACGAGACCATGAATTCATCTTACTCTCCACTGTGATTAGCTTCGGGCTTCTTTTTATCCCACTTCATAGCCCATCGGCCTCCAGTTCTGTTTGTGACTCCTCCAAGAGAGACTGATCCTAGCTGCAATGCTCCCCAGCACGGGCCAACCTCAAAGTGCCTCAAAAGACTTGAAATCAAAGGCCCGCAGAAGTTCCAGCCCATCTAGTGTCCAAGCAAATGCAGGGAGCGAGCAGGTTCTGTTGATAAGGAAGGAGCTGGGACCAGTGCCAGGGACCCTGGGCTCAATGAGCACTCGTTATAGCATTAGGTTTGATGTCATTCCAAACCTCTGGTACCCAGCTACTGCAGCAACTAAAAACCTAAGGAGAAGTTAGTCTTAGGTCCTCCCTAAACGCACTCCAACATATATAACTCTCTAGGAGTTCTTTGCTTACATCCTAGGTGTTTCTTCTTTGAACTCCACCTAGAGAGAATGGAAGGCACGAGGCCTCACTTATCGGTGTTCCTGGGACCATTTGCACACATCCGATTTATCTTCTAAAGCCTTTCCTGTGTAGCAGGAAGATTCTTCTTTACAAGATTTCAGACTCATCTAATACTTTTAAATTAACACCAATTTCCTATCTTACTTATCCAGAGCTCGCTCACTCCTCTATTCTGAGGTATTTCCCCTTCTTAAACCTCGCTACCTGATCACCTTTACATGCTTTAAAAACACTGCCTACTGGACTAGCCACTGAGACACTCCCATACCAACTCCTTCATCACTCAACTACGTATCTACCTTCCTGGTTTGTTGATGCTTATATCCCAAAATGGTTCTTTTAAAGTATACTACCCCAACGGCTTTTACATTGCTCCCTCCTCTTCCAGGCAGAGCTAAACTAGTTCTAACTGTAACTTCCCTTCCCAGTTCAAACAGGAACAGAAAAGCTGATTAGCTTCAGGGCAGCCAGAGGGGTGAGGGCTGTCTGCCCCACTCAGCAGGCTACTGGAAACAGCTGGGCAAAACTAGAAGACTCAAGACCTCAAAGATGGGGTGCGGGGAACACTGTGAGTGAGACCCCGGTTTGAGACGCAGATGATTGGAAGCCAAATGAAAATTACATAACATCCTAGGGTTAAAGTTCTCTGCCCACAGCCCAACTCCCTGGCTTCTGCCACACCTGGATTCTGACTCTACTTACCTATTTTGAGCAGCATAGATACTGGCCAGTTTTAGGGAGATTTCAATTATTGCATTGTCTTCCTGTTGGGAGAAAGGAAATGAAGATAATTCACAACATGTTAAATTTCCTCATGGATTATTTCTGATCAACATCTAGAGAGACTTTGGTCTAAAAGCCATAGTCTTTACCCTTCTGGAGGGATTAGGCAATTGGATCCCTCAGCAACCATGCTTTTGCCCCAGGGGAAGACTGGTAGTTGTTATACAGGTCTGAGGAAAAAAAAATAATCCACCTTTTTTCACCAAAGCACATGGTGGGGACTGAGCGGAGTTTTCAGGAAGCAAAACTATTTTGAAAACTGCTCCAGCTAGCCCAATCCTAGGCAATGTCCTTACCTGTTGCATGCCCCCTCCAAGCAGGTAACTCATTGTTGCTTTAAAAAGTTTTTCTGCCTAAAAGCATAAGGAAAAGATTTTTCTTTTACTTGGGACCTTGGATTCTAAGTACTAGTCTGATGCATCATCCCCTTGTAAAACACAACACACACCCCTATATACACAGAGCAAAATATCCTTGTGATGGGAAAACAGACAAAAATACCAGGACCCCACCTCTTCTGGGCACCTTAAAAACTACTCTGTAATGAGTAGAAACCAACTTCAACTAAACCTACTGTGGCAGAGACTGCAAACTATCCCCTAATTATTCACTCTCCTGTCCTTTTAGTTACAACATCTCCTCAGTTTTTAACAGATCAGCCTCCTTTGCACTTCGGTATGGTCATACGATGAGGTTTTGGCCAAGGGATGCAGGCAGAAGGAACGCGAACAATTTTTAAATTCTATTTTATAAGGAAGCTGCCTGCCTGCCCTTTCCCTCCTCTGCATCCTTCCTGGAGGCTGGGAGTGAGCTAGCTCACCAATGCAGACGAGAACACATCTTAGAAGGAACTCAGGCCTGTGGACCACTTCATGGAACAGAGGTATCTACCATTCTTCAGTGCATAGCTAACTCTGGAATAATGCATTAAAAGAAATACACCTTCTTGTTTGAGTCACTCTATTTTGGGGTCTCTTTGTTACAGCAGCTGAGCTTGTACCCTTACTAATAAGAGTTCTCTGGAAGCTAGTCCTTCACAAATTCAAAATACCACAAAGTGGTTTTACTTACTTACATTTTCAAGTTGACCCCGTATAAATGCTAAGTTGGCCATCTGAAAGGAAATTACAAATTGTTTTTCAGTTTAGAGCACTGCATTCTACTTACTTCAAAACCCTTAAGCTAATGACCTTCTTTTACTTTTACCCTCTAAACTAAAAAAAAAAAAAAAAAAACAGTTCAAAGAGAAAGGTATTTAATTTGCTAAAATCAAAGCACAGCAATAGTGTATGTAAATAGTTGCACAATCTTTGCTGATGACAAACCAAATCTAGATCCAATCATCACTGAAAAAAACAAATACTAATGACATTTATTTTTGGTGTGAGATTTAGACTTCATATAAGTGAAGAGTAATAAAATGTTAGTACCCAAGGGTAATAAAAATTGAAACCAAAAGAAAACGTAGTAAAAACAAAAACGAAAGAGCTTTACAACATCCTGAAAGTCAGGAGCATAAATCAGGAGAGCGAACAACCCTTCTCTTGCATCCACCCTTCATCATCAGTGGCTCAGATTGGTTAGAAGAGTTACCAAATCATAAGTGTAAGTGATGGCCTTCCTGTTATCACTCTGATAGGCAAGACGAAGAGCGTCATGTAAAATTAGCTCAGCCTCTTCTGGCTCATCTTTCATGATGCTCAACTGAAAAGAGAAAACAAAGAAAGGAATAGAGAACGAAATGTAAAGAAAGCAGATGTATGTGCTACCAGACTGAAGGGATATGGCCATACATCCCAAAACACAGAAGACAGCTATCCATTCATTTGTCAAATATTTATTGAATTCCAACTATGCACCAGACTTTATGTCTACAATGGTGACAAGGAGGTCAGCTTCCCTTGCAGCTATGTGCAGCCACATGGCAAAGTTCTGGCCAACAGATACAGACACCAGGAATGTAAGCAATTTTTGCATCCTATTTTATAAGGAAGCTGCTTGCCCTACATCCTCTTCTTCCCTTCCTACAGGCTGGAAATAACCCTGTAGGACAAATAAGCTTAAAAACAGCTGATATAAACTATTGAAGAAAAGTAACGGGAAGGAACAATAAGGGGTCCCCTCTAAATGGGAATCAGAGAACCCTTCCCGAGGAAGTGACAGTTAAACTGAGGTAGGAAGGATGAGAAAGAGTCAACCAGGAATTATGGGGAATAATGACCCAGAGAGTAGGGGATGAACAGAGGCCCTATAGGCCGAAGAGAACAGTCTTCAAGAACCATTCAAGAAATGAAAGGAAACACATGTGAAGGGGAGACAGCGAGCCAGAGGATTACTGCTAAATGGGTGGGCAAGGCAGGGTGGTGTAGGTTATGTAGGGTCTTGCAGGCCATGGTAAGGGGTTTGGATTTTATAATAAATATAGTGGGAAGTCATTCAAAGTTTTTAGGCAAAGAGAATACAATCTAATTTACATTTTTTAACTCAAATATTCTTTTAAGATTTATTTATTTTTAGAGAGAGAGAGTGTGCATGAGGGGGGTCCTCAAGCAGACTCCCCATCGAGCAGGGAGCCGGAAGTGGGGCTCAAACTCACAATCCTGAGATCATGACCTGAGCTGAAATCAAGTCGGAGGCTTAACCAACTGAGCCACCCAGGCGCCCCCCAATTTACATTTAAAAAAAAAAAAATGAATTCAGGCTGCTGCATGAAGAGTGGGGCAACAGGGCAGGCAAGACTACCAGACGGCAGGCTGTGGCAATGTGGCCAGGAGGACAGCAGAGGACAAAGAAAAGGGCAGATTTCAGAAACACTTTGGATTTGCTGGCAACAGGGGCTGTTGCTGGTCTGGAAGTGTACTGAGAGGCAGTGGTAAGGTACCCTCAGGTTTTAAGAATGACTAGGTTGCCAGGCTGAAAAGCTGGGTGGACAGTAGCAAAGAGAAGATGGTGGAGGAACGTGCTGGGGAGGCCTCTGCGATCAACAGTCAGGTCTGAGGGGCAGGTGAGGCCTCAGAGTGGGGAGGGCATGTTAGTGGCACACGGCAGCACGAGAATATAAATCTGGATGTCGTGAGCCCCGAGGCGGTAGCGAGCCCAATGGCAGGGACGAGATAACCTGAGGAGGACAAAACAGAAAAGACTGTGCACAAAAGGAAGACTTTAGAAAGAACAGAACCAACACTCAAGTGCATTTTCTGGGCGCTCCATACGTGCCCAATTCTCGATGCCAGCCCCTTCGGCGTGGCTGGCTCCCTGATAAAAACAACTACATTTCCGCTAATTTTGCTTGGATGAAAGAGCGATGCCCGTGGTGCCACCTCCATCTGCACTGGGGACTGCAGCGGTTTGACTGCAGGCTCTGGAGTCTGACAAGCCTGGATGGATGCCAACACCGCCCCCCCCCACCCCCCACCATGACCCATCGAATTCCGGGCAATTCTATCCCCGGAGCCCCGGTCCAGTCTTCGGGAAACTGGAGCGAGCACTGCGCACCCCGGGGGCCAACGACCAGGCCTCGATCGAAAAGGCCGCCTCACCTTGGCTCGCTTCAGCAGCTGGATGATCTCGGCCTCGGCCTCGTCCGCCGCGCCCTCGGCGGCGGCCCCGCCCGCTCCCTGCCGCTCCTCCTCCTGCTCCTCTGCCGCAGCGGGCCTCGAGAACCAGGCGAGCGCTGCGGGAAGGGGCTCTGAGGTCACCGGGCCCGGCCCGCGCCCCGCTCCCCGCCCGGCCGGCCCCGCCCGGCCCGCGCCCCTCACCTGCCAGCAGCGGCAGCAGGCCCGGGCCTCCGCCGCGCGGCGCGACTCGGGATGCCGGCACCCCCACCTCAGGCGCCCGGCCTCCTGCCGGCCCCGGGAGCAGGCGCACCGAGCAGGCCCGGCACCGCCGCCCCGCGGCCCGCAGAAGGCCTCGGCCCAGGCTCGGGCTCAGGAGCCGGTACATGCTCGCGCGGCGTCCTCGGCGCACTGCAGGCCCGGCCGGGTCCCAGGACGCCCCGCCCCCAGCGCCGAGCGCCCACCGGATTGGTCGGGCCGCGAGGTGGGAGGAGGCGTCGTCGTGGCCGCCCGCATGCGCGTGACGCGCGCCGACGTCACTTCGCCTCGCCCCGCCCCCGGCCGGCGGCGGGAATTCTCCCTAGAGCCGTCGGAGCGTCGCACCTGCGGGGCTTTCGGGGGAGGCTGAAGGCCTGGGACGCCATGGCCTTCGCCTTGCCCGGAGTCACGTTGCCCGCTGTCGTCGAGGAGCTCCTGAGCGAGATGGCCGCGGCGGTGCAGGAGAACGCGCGAAGTACGGGCCGGAGGGCGTGCGTAGCTGCGCTGTGGGCGGTGGACCTGGCCCGGCCGGGCAGGGAGGCGAGAGGCGGAGCCTGAGGGGCGCCGGGTTGGGGGCGCTGCCCCCGCGCTCTTCGTCCTGGCTTCTCCAAGCTTTTATCCCCTGTGGTTCTATTCCCAAACCCCAGTTCTTAAGAAAAAAAAAAAAAGGAAAGAAAAGAAAAGAAGGAAAAGGAAAGCCCGATTTGTTTAGGGAGCAGCGCGGTGGTTCCCTGCAGGCCGGCGGGGCAGCAGGGACAGAAGTGCTGGGCGCTGCCACGAAACCCCTGAGAAGGGACCTGGGCCAGGAGGGCAGAAGGCACGGGAGCTTGCGCGCACGTACGGGGAGGTGAAGTTCTTAATTATTATTAAGCTTGCTTGCAGTCTTTTTCTTCCCCCTCAAAATCCTAACTCTAACATTAATCCTCGTGCACGCTGTGTGCATCAGATAAATATTTTGGAACCCGAAAACCAAATGCATACGCAGTGACTGGAGTAAATAGGGATATCGTGAAAGTAACTGTTACTTCTCTGACCAGCAGAGGATGCTCTGTGACTGTGTTTACCAAAAATCACCCAGGTGATCTCAAGATGTGCTCAGGGCATTAAAGATGATAGTTCTAATCAGAATGCATTGACCAATTGGAACTACTCAACCAGTGTAAAAAACGGCCTCTTAATAGCAGTGCACAGCTCAAAACTGCCGCTTTTTCACTTGGACGGCTTTTGTTTTAAAAGGACTGCACTTTGAAAGGGTTTATCTTGAGTTACTGTATTTATCCATACTGACGTAAGCATGGTAGGTATGTTTAAAAGATTAGGCCAGGCAGGTATTCAAATATGTTGGGATCCCCAAAAGGATGGGGGGAAAAAAAAATCTGTTCGCTCAAACACTGGTTGCCAAAAGTGGGCTCTGTCTGAATTAATCCATATACTGTGACCACTGCCATTGATTCGTGTTTATTTCCAGCAGAACCGTTTCCTGCTATTTTAAAATATGTGTTCTACATAGTAATGCACTATTCCTGATCTCTGTGCTTCAGTGATAATATTTTTAGATCAAGATTCTGAGTTTACACTTGTGATGATGATGTGATATCTCATCACAGCTGGGCCACGTAGGAAGCTGTGGTTGCTTCTCCTCTCCTGCATAACTTTTTGTTTTCCCTGGAATTACAACTGTTGTGGTTGTGTTTTTTTAGTTTTCTATGTATGTATCCCTAATTCAACCTCAAACTCTTCACCAGTGTTCTAAATCTCTACTCCATATGTTCAGATGAGTGAGATGTTGTCTCAGTTTCATTCTTCCGTGGAAATCTCTCCTAGAGCCTAGACTTGCTCTAATACGGACTCACTGCTCTCCTAGCTATTTCCTGAGATCTTCCTTCACCATTATTATCTTAGGAATTCCCTTTGCCTGTGTTGAGCGGTATGTTTATCTATAATTTCCTTTTTCTGGGTTTACTATCTTATTTTATAGAGCACATTCTCCAGTAGCTTCCTGAAGAAGAGTATATGAGGTATACTTTTTGAAGCTTTACATGTCTAAAAAGTTTTTTCTAACCTCACCGTTAAATGATAGCTTGGCTAGGTAGTGAATTATACGTTGGAAATAGTATTTCTTCAGACATCCGGAAGCCTTATTCCACTACCATCTATCTCCTTAAACTTACTTTAAAAGACTCTATTATTGGGCGCCTGGGTGGCTCAGTTGGTTAAGCGACTGCCTTCGGCTCAGGTCATGATCCTGGAGTCCCGGGATCGAGTCCCACATCGGGCTCCCTGCTCAGCAGGGAGTCTGCTTCTCCCTCTGACCCTCTTCCCTCTCGTGCTCTCTGTCTCTCATTCTCTCTCTCGCAAATAAATAAATAAAATGTTAAAAAAAAAAAAAAGACTCTATTATTTTAACCCCCCCTGCTTCATCCCCATCTCCAAAGCAATCTGGTGCCATCAGTTTCTGAGGGTTGTAGGGGTAAGAGGGTACTGGATTTTGGAGTACAAATGAGGTTATTGCTTGGCTCTCTCCATTGCTAGCTTAGGATTCAGTTTCCTCAGGTCTTGTAAATTATTTTCCAGTGTATCTTAGCTGTTGTTTCTCCCTGTCCTTTCATCCTGGGGAATTTATGCTTTTTAAAATAATCCTTTTATTATTGTTTAGTGGAGTATTTGGAAGGAGTAAAATCAGATGCATAGACTTAATTTACCATCTTACACAAAAATCTTCTTGGTTAAAGTCTTCTAAAGATTTTTTCTATGGCAAAAATCTTTAAAAAAAGATTTTGTCTATGGCCACTGGTTTAACATGATTAACTTTCTTCCCATTTGTGTTTTACAGTTCCTGATGAGCATCTGTCATCGTAAGTATATATCCTGTTGTAATCGGGTTTTTTTTTTTTTAACCATTAATGTATCTTTTTTAAAGATTTTATTTATTTAGAGAGCTGGGGGAGGGGCAGAGAGAGAGGGAAAGAGAGAATCCCAAGTAGACTCCATACTGGGTGTAGAGCCTGACACAGGACTGGATCCCACCACCCTGAGATCATGACCTGAGCCAAAACCAGGAGTTGGGATGCTTAACCGACTGAGCCACCCAGGCACCTCAACCATTAATGTGTTTTAAAAGCCAGATCCTTTCAACAGCTCTTGGTTTTTAAAAATACTCTTACTAAACTAAGAACAGTGTTTTCTTGACATGATTGTTAAAAATCTGTCCAAAGCCAATACCATTCTTGACAGTACAAGGTATTCTTGTGTTGTCCTATTTGCCACTTTTGTTTAACATTGTTCTAGTGGGGCGCGCCTGGGTGGCTCAGTCAGCTAAGCGTCTGCCTTCAGCTTGGGGCCTTGATCTCAGGGTCCTGGCTCCCTGCTCACTGGGGAGTCTGCTTCTCCCTCTGCCTCTACTCATGCTCTCTCAAATAAATAAATAAATAAATAAATAAAATCTTTAAAAAAAAATGTTCTTGGAAAAAAGAGAAAACATGAAAAGCATCAACAATCATACCACCCAGTGATAATCACTGTTACAGTTTGGTTTATTGCCTTCTTTTTTTTTTTTAATTAAATATTTTATCTTGAGATATTGTGGGTTTTCTTAAAAGTTTTTTAACATGATTGAGAGTTTCTAAATACCTAATTATGTGCCCAGCCTTTCTCACTTATCATAAGAATTTTCCCACATACCAGATTTTTTTCTGATCTATCATTTAAAGGTGGATAGCCTTTATTACTAATACAGAAAGTACAAATAAGTACCCGTCAGGTGGTAAACATGAAAATCTCTGATAATATTGGTATTGGTTAGGATATGGGGAAAACAGAACTCTCATACAGTGCTGGTGGGACTGTGGTTTCCACTGTGGAAGGCTATTAACAATGCCTATTAAAGTTGAAAAATGTACACATCCTAAGGCTCAGCAATTCTACGTATGTAACCAGGAAGAATTCTCATGTGCATTAAGGGACATGTACGGGGATAAGTGAGTATTCTTTATAATGTAAAATAGAGACAATCAGACCACCTATCAGGGTACCTAAAAAATAAAATGTATGTACATCTTATGTATGTATGTAATAAAATGTTAGTCAAAAAATAAATTAAAAAATACATATATCAACATGCATCATTTTCAAAAGCACATTAAATAGAAAAAACCAAGTTGCCAAAAAAACCTACAATGTATCTTTTTAGGTTCTAAAACTTAGGAAACAAGAGCAGATGTATGTATGTATATGCGTGTGTATGCGTGTGTGCTGTGTATACATGTTCAGTGTACTTTGTCTAATATAAAAACATTAACAGGAAGGAGACCAAATGCATGCAGTTGCCTCAGGGATGAAAGGAAGTTGGGAAGAACAGGAAGCACTATGATATGTAAAGAGGGCTTTTTCTGGAAACATGTTAACATTCTGGCGGGGGGGGGAGTTGATTACATGGGGTTTTGCTATATTATCTTTTTTTCCAAATTAAAATGAATTTTTAAAAAAAGTGCCAGTGGTGATCCTCTGGGTTAAGTTCCTGAGGTGACTGAAAGCAGGCAGTCTGATCTGAAGCCTCTCTGTTTCCCAGGCTGAAGTTCATCTTCGGCTCATCCGCCATCCAGGCCTTGGACCTCGTGGACCGACAGTCCATCACCTTAATCTCATCGCCCAGTGGGAGGCGTGTTTACCAGGTAGAAATCTAGAGGTGGGGATGATCTCAACAAGGAACCCCCTTAGGACAAAATGTTTTCGTGAGTCCCAATATTTCCTGGGCTACTGAAAAGTAAATGACCCAACTTCATAAAATCAGTGTGTTAGTAATTAAAATAAGTCCAATAAGACCTCTTAACCCTACCTAGTAGCAATGTATAGAACCAGCAATGATGTGGAGAGGCTGTTTTCTCAAGTCTAATGGCGTATAGTTGATTTTTGCTTCCCTGTGTTTGATAACAAGCACTTTCCCCCCCAAAACTGTGTTGACACTTTCACCTTGTTCATTATCTCTTGCCTACAAACAAAAGCCAAAATGCATTTTGAGGTCCTTCTGCAAGCTCAGATTCATCCATCAGAAGTGATCTTTCAAAACTGTTGTCAGGAAGTATTTGTTAAGGGTCAGACTATGCTGAAGGCAGGTTGTCTACTTGGACTTTAGTTTTGCCTTCTAGAATTTAAGATACGTAGATCTGTAAAGTAATAGCCTCTTATCAGACTCTGAAAGATTCAAATTTCCGTGTGTTGATAATTCCCACAAAAGCCCAACCAGGTATTTATCTTGCAGGAAACTGAGATGCAGAAACGTAAACTCACATCTGGCAGTTAGGATTTCTAACTCCTGTCCCACACTGCCTCTCTATAAACAGTGGGCCACACTGCAACCCATTCCCACTCCCCCGCACCCCAATGTAGCTATATGAGACAAGGGTAAGTGCCATGGGATTGAGGGAGGGGAATCTTGTGAATGAAATAAAAATACTGGCAATGTTCTCCCAAAATTTTGAGTCTGGGGGCACCTGGGTGGCTCAGTCGGTAGAGGGCATGACTCCTGATCTCGAGGCCCAAGTTGGATGTAGAGATTACTTGAAAATAAAATCTTAAAAAATAGTAAGATTTCCTTAAAAAATGTGTGTATGTGTGTATCTGTCTTGGAAGGAGTAAAGAAGCCATCAGCTCTAGTATGTAATCTAGGTCTTGCTGAAGACCAGGAAGGGGGAAGTTTTTCAGCATTTGAATTCTGGTTTATTTATGATGAACATCTCAGAGCTGAGACCATGTCAATTAATTTCTAGTGAGGGAGCAAAGCCTACTATTGTATTTACTTAAAAGAAGCTACCTATTAGAATTTTGTCAGGGCACACTTACAGATTAATAATCAAAGCTATTAAATGATGTTGTACCTGACGAGGTATTTCCATTTTACTTCTTAGTGTTTTTATTTGGCGTTTCTATGTAGCTAAAATACCCGGAACAAGACGGGCCTTTGAGTTTTTCCCACATCTTTTAGTTTCAGATTTTTTGTCTCCATTCCAGTGTTAGCATGACACTTGACATGTACGAACAGACTTCACACTGCCCTCCAATTCTAAGATCTAGTCATTAGTTAAAATCTTAAAAGATTTTGTTTGAAATATTTCAATTCTTGTTGACTTTTTGTTTCTCCCAAGATTGCCACTTGTTTAACTTTCATGATTCCCATCCTGTATTATATTACATTGCTTTATTCGTCATAAAAATGCAAACTTCCTAGTACTGTGACTTCCAACTTGGACTTTGAATTAAATGAGGCTGTAGAAATCTTACATACACCCTCAGATTAACCTTACTGGTCTCACTGTATACCACTGTAGTCCAAATTTGGCTTAAGTCAGAGGTTCTCTGAGATGGTAAAAGTTGAGTCAGACACTGTCTGATACTCCACTGGTCATCTTTCCATAGGTCAGCCTTCTGATACTGTTACTGTCTTCCAGGGACAGTGGTGATTACTCCAAAGTCATCACTGTGCTGTCGTCACCCGAGTCGCTTTTCTGTAAACTTTCTGGGTTCACCTAGAAAGAGGGATGCATCAGTCAGGAGAGGCTAAGCCATGCTGTGGCAGCAATGACCCCCGAATGTCAAAGACTTACAGAGTTTTATGTCTCATTCATGCTTCACATCCATCCAGAGTCGATTACCACTCTACTCCAGGACATCTTCATTCAGGGATCCCAGCTGGCGTAGCAGCCTTTCTCTGGAATATTGTGGATCTCACAGCAGAGAGAAAAGAGGATGTGGTCTGTACCGATTTGTAATGTTTCTGCTCGGCTACTCACATTTTCCTGGCTAAAGCAGCTCACATAGCCAGCCAGTAGTTAATAGGGCAGGAATGTATAATCTTCTTTCAGAGGCACCGAGCACAGGCAATAAATAATACAGTTGAGCACTGGGACGGCTCCTGGGAGGCTGGCAGCAACCATAAAATAAAACTGTGCTTGCGAGTGGATGACCATCCAGGTGGGTCACTCTCCTTAGTACCCAACCGGAACCACAGACTTCCTCCGAGGGAGGCTCATCCGAGTCTACTCATGGGGCTGCGTTTCCTCTTTCCCAGATGTTTCTTTTTTAAAAGCTCTCTCCTGGGGATAAACATTGCAGACTGTGAGTGGGAGAAGTGGGGGCAGTTCCTGGGGGGCGGGGGGGGGGGGGGAGTCATTTTTCCACTGAAGGCTGAAGCCACTGACTTAGAGGATCCCTGAGGTCAATTTCCAGTGGTAATCATTTCTAACTCAGATTTTTGCCTGATTATTGGGTTCATTAGTCATCCGATGGCTGGATAAGGAAGAAGCAAATTCACAATTTACTATCTCTTGACAGTATTTACTGCCTCAGGCGGTTGAACATTGTACTTTTAGTCTTGTCCAGCCCCTGACAGGATCAGGCAAGGGAGCCTCTGTAGAAACTCTTCCCCCTCCCTAAGTCACCTGGCATTGATTCAGCGTAGTCCAGAGTCTTCTCATGGATTGGGGACCCACAAAAAGAAGGAACCGGAGAACGATTCAAGTCAGTGTAGAATTCCAGAGGCTTATGCCTGCTTAAATTTAAATCTAGAGAGAAGAGGTAGAGGAAAGGAAGAAATCTTAACGTTTTATTCATTGGTAATGGTTTGGAGACCCAAGAATCGTTCACGTCACTGCTGGGTATTGGGTTTTTCCCAGGATTAAGTGGAAGACCGTGTGCTTTCAGACTGTTGTCAGTTTGACAAACAAGCACAATGCTGGAACACTGCTCTTTTGTTGCGGCCTTCCCTGTTGCTTCATTTTTTTTTTTTTATGATTTTATTTATTTGACAGAGAGACAGCGAGAGAGGGAACACGAACAGGGGGAGTGGGAGAGGGAGAAGCAGGCTTGCCGCCGAGCAGGGAACCCAATGCGGGGCTCGATCCCAGGACCCTGGGATCATGACCTGAGCCGAAGGCAGACGCTTAAGACTGAGCCACCCAGGCGCCCCTGTTGCTTCATTCTTTGTTGGGGAGAAAGACAGAAGAATCTCAGGAGTGCTGACTTTTTTTTTTTTTTAAGTCTGGCCTTTTCATTTCAGTTGCCATCTCAGAGCCTGAAACTAATTTGAAAGCCCTGTGGCAAATTCCTAAGTGGCAGGTCATGGTAAAATGCCCCTCAAGATGTTTCTACTTCCTTGGATACTGATTTTACACTCCTCGTTTGGAAATTAAAGCCAGGAATGAAGCCCCAGACATTTTTGGTTTGGGGTGCTTGGCGGTAGAGAGACGTCAACAAGTGATTTCTCCGACAAGTTTGTCCATTCATGCCACAGACACATCAGAATTTCCCTGTACGCCTGTCTCCTTTTTGTCCCCCAACTACCAACAAGGCGATTTGTTCCTGGACTAGGCCTCTTAACCAGCCCCTCAAGTATCTATATCCTCCTTCCATCCTGCTGGATGAATAGGCAGCTCTAGGCGTGCCTCATTCAGAGACCTGCACCCTGTGCAGCTGAGTCATCCCTCAGCAAGATTCTTTGCTTTATTTATTCTCCCTGCTCTCAAATGTTTTTTAAGAGCCCTTTCCTTCTTCTGAAGACCCGTCTTCCTACCTCACTGCTTGACTCTTTACCTGTGTTCACACTTTAAGTGTGTGGTGGAAGCTTTAGAAATGCACACACCCATTGTGAAACACCAAAGTTTAAGAAACCCCACGATAAGTGTGTCCGAGGAGACCTTTCCCCTCCACCTCTTTCTAGGCAGCCCATGGAGTGGGCTCTCTAAATTGCTAGGGGGAGGATGGTTTAGCTAGTCTGAAAGTCCAGTTTCCTTGAATGAAGCCCTCGAGGACAGAGCCCCGAGGAGGAGGGGAGAGTCTGCACTTTTGGGTCACATGTTACTGCAGTTCTTCCCAGTGCGATTTGCAGGGCAACCCTGAATCCTCGGATGGATAAATTCAAGGGAAGGAGGCTGTTTTCCAGCACGCCTTTCGAAGTCTGATCTCATCTCTCCTTTTCTTTCTAGGTACTGGGAAGTTCTGGTAAAACATACACATGCCTGGCTTCTTGTCATTACTGTTCCTGTCCTGCCTTTGCCTTCTCGGTGCTGCGGAAGAGTGACAGCCTCCTGGTGAGGACAAGGGAGGCTCTTCCCACTCCAGTCAGATTAGCAAATTCTTGGCCCTTACCGCGTGGCGTAAGCATTATACAAAATGGGAATTTTTACTGTATGTCGAAACAAATAGTTTACTGTCCTTGATTGCAGTTAGTCATCTCTTTTGGGTTTACCCTCCCAAGATGCAGTGTCATTTTTAGATCTATATCCATTACCCGATTTTTTATTTATTTTTTATTTTATTTAAAAGGTCACTGATGAAGCCTTATGGAGGGCAACAAAGTAATCTCGAAATGATTTTTCGAGTTGGCTCTGGGGAATTAGAGGGCCCAATAAAAATATGAGCTAAACTGATTGTTGGCAACTTTGCGGATCCCCTAACTCCAGCTATGAGGTGTTTCTTCCCACTGCCCGTAAGACAGCCTGGCATTAGCCATGCCAGCCTTGAACGTGGGGCAGGAGAGCACAGGGAGACTTTTGCCCATTTCACGGGTGCCCAGAGCATCAAGCAGGAGCAAGCCATACTCCCATAACTCCTTATTTCAGACGAGAAAGCACTACCCACCCGAGAGCAGGTAGCTATTTTATAAGACTTGCCAAGGAAAATTACAGTACCCGCTCCATTCTTCCTCTCATACTGTTAACTTGGTAAACATCTTGGGAACGGGGGTGGCTGGTTGGATATCTCGTTGTTAAAAGACCACCTTCACAGCTGACGTGTCATGAGTGTGTTTTACCTGTGAAATGACAGGATTAAACTTCGGGCCCCTTCAGTATCTAAAGCTGAGCATGTTCTGGGACAGAAGGTCCAGCATGTCCCCAGAGGTGTGTACGGGCCTCTATGGGAGGGTTCTGCAACCCACCCGTGGGACAGCACGGTGGTTAAGGGAGCAGCCCGCAGACTCAGCGCGTGGGTAAAATGGGGACAAGACCTGTCCTCGTGGGGTAGCTGACAGATTTCAGTGAGATCATCTGTGAGAAGCACTGAGCAACATGGTAGGTCAAGGAATGTCCGCCATCGCTGTGAAGGGTGTTCTGAAGGCTGGAGGAAAGCAGAGCTGAAGACGAAAATGAGGGGCCTGTCTTGGTTTGCACGGTGGGTTATAAACCCTGTGTCAGCTGGGTCTAAATGGCTTCCCAAAACAGGCAAAGTAAAACTTTCTTCATCCCCTCGGATTTCTAGAAAGAATACATCGTGTCATCTTCAACTGCGGTTTTTAGGCAGTGAGTCCATAACGTGTGCGCCCCACTCCTTTCCTAGTAAATGTAGCAAGAGGTCTTGGTCAGCTTCAGCCCTGCCCATCTCTAACGGGTTTGTGTTTTGTGTTCCAGTGCAAGCATCTCTTGGCGGTTTATCTTAGTCAGGTAATGAGAACCTGTCGGCAGCTGAAGGTCTCTGACAAGCAACTGACTGACATATTATTGGTGAAGAAGAAACAAGAAGCGCAAAAGGTATAGACTGAGCATCGTTCTCTTTCAAGATAGAGAAGTCCCACCCAGAAAAACATTTAACCTACCAAGGTTCACCTGGAGGAGAGGTGAAATAGATCTTCTGGAGACTTCTCGTCAACTATCCCTTTTCCCTCCAGGACAAGAGACTATGAGTTGCAAGCCAGGATGTGCGTATACTTTGAAGGTCTACAGTTTCTCCTGAAAAATCTGAGCCAGCCTCTGAGCCCCATGGGTCAGTTTCCTGGATGAATCAAGCATTTGACCCAAAGCCTAGTACCGTGTCCTGTGCGCTGTTAGATTTTTTTTTTAAAGATTTTATTTATTTATTTGAAAGAGAGAGCACAAGCAGGGTGGAGGGGCAGAAGGAGAAGCAGACTCCCTGCCGAGCAGGGAGCCTGACGTGGGACTTGACCTCAGGACCCCGGGATCACGACCTGAGCTGAAGGCAGACACTTAACCCACTGAGCCACCCAGGTGCCCAGTTAGATTCTTAAGTTACTGAAGTACTAGTAATTTTTAAGAGGTTGGAATAGTAGACGAAACTGGTCAGATGAAGTTTAGATGAGTAAGTGTGACTTCCTTTCCTGGGATCCAGGAGGTTCCCTGCAGCAACAGAAGATCAGCGAGCGCAGAGATGTGGCTGAAGAGCATCCAGCATAGAAAGACCTCGGGGTTCTTGCCTCAGTGAGCTGCAGCCAGTCTGTGGAGCTGGTGCCAGGAAAGCTCACACAGCCTGCAGCGTTAGAAAGGTGGTGTCGAAAACAAGGAAAGAGCGGTGGTCATGCCCTGCGTGCACTGCGGGGCTTTATAACAAGCCAAAGGAAGGAAAATGAGCCTGCGTGCAGCCCAGGAGAACTTCTTAGTAAGTATAGCTGCTCCCAGCCAGAGTAGGAGCCTGGAGGGCCAGGAATGCTCTGGCGCCACCGGGGCTCATAAATCTGCAGTGTCCTCACGGGGATACTGCAGAAGGCAATGCAGCAGCGAACAAACAGATGAAACAGATTTTACAGCCCGGGCAACGCCCAGCCCCGGGCCCCTGGAAACCTGCGGCCCAGCGCGTGAACACGGTTCAGGGCGCCGGTGGCACCGTGGTCCCTGCTGGGCAGAGCCTTTTGTTGCCACAGATAAAACCTGTTAAGACTCGACTCCTTGGGAAACTTGAGCTGGGTATAAACTTCTCTTTTTAAGCAATCTTCAGAATAAAGAACAGAATGTGGATGCAGCACCCTAAGCTTGTGAAGTTTTATTTTTATTTCACCTAATAGATGTACATGGTTGTACAATTTTTACTTATTCAGATTTTCACACTTGGGCCCCAGCAGCGTGGCCAGACTTCAGCATGGTAGAGGACTACACTTGACTATCTGACTGTCGGAGGGGCAGATGCAGTCTGGCAGAGAGGGATTCCATCTCTCTGGTTTCTTCCACTAGTACATGGAAAAGAATGTTACCAAAGAAGGATATTCTACTTACAAACTTACAAGAGTAGCATTTCCCCAAATAAATATAGCAGTTTGTTGACTGAAGAATTACACTTAATTTTCCTGGTCACCTTCCTAGGAACAAGTATCTATTTTTAGTACGTTCAACTTTTATTCTTTCACTGCCTCTAAGTTAAAAACAAAACATTTGTATTATAATAGTTCACAGTGTTTCACAGTAAAATAGTTTCATTTTCTACCATGAAAAGAGGCAGACTCTTAAAAAAACCAAACAGTCTTTTACAATCCATTCAGGCCATCGCCATCATCCACACAGAGCAGCCAGAAAGAGCCAGAAAGACTTTGTGAACCTTTGGAGCTGACTAATAACGTGTGCATATTAGCTGGGTATGTGGTCACTCGAGAGGGAGCCCACGCGCTGACACGACGTAGCTGTAACAACGGCAATCAGCCAGTCCCGTCCCGTCCCTGTGCTGATTGTGAACGTGTGCCTTCTTGAAGAGGCCGGGCCCTCGGTCATAGGCCCACATCAAGGGCAGGCTGTGCCCCTGCCTGCCCGTTCCCGCTCTTGAGGACACCTGTCTGGCAGAGGACATACCTGGAGATGATTTTGTGAAAAGTATAGCGGAAGTCTTGGTTCCGATAGGCATAGACAACGGGATTGACCACCGAGTTGGCATGTGACAGGAGAATGGCCGTGTTCATTGCCCACTTGGGCTTATTCTTTGCCCGGGCTGGCTGAAAGAGACTGACACAGTTGATGGCATGTAGTGGCAGCCAGCAGAGAGCAAAAATGCCAACGATCATGGCCAGGGACTTGGCGGCGTGGATCTCCCGCTGGATGATGGTCCTGGAGTGGTCCATCAGCTCCATGTGCTGAAGCTGCCTACAGGCCACCATGAAGATCTTGATGTAGATCACCAGCATAATGAGCAGCGGGGGCAGGACGCACCCAAAGAAGTTGAAATACACCATGTAGCTCATGGGGACCACGTTCTCAAACAGACACTTCACGAGGCAACAGCTTCTGTTGGTGGCTCCATCCCAGGGTTCCGTGCAGTTGGTGGCACTGTCCTTACCGTTCCAGCCCAGGAACGGGGTCAGTCCGATGCCAAAGGCGAGGACCCAGAGGGCAGCAATGACTCTTCTCGCTCGAGTCCCAGTGACCAAACTCTTATACCTGTCCAAAAGAACATCATCTGTTACCGTCAGCGTGCAGAACTCTGTAACCGGAGTCCGAGACCCCACCTCTGCTTTGGTTCCGTGGCCTTTACCCCAACAATCTTTAGGGTTCACCCTCAGGGGGTACCATGGCCTTTTACCCTCAACGTGAAGACATGCAAATAGGTAGGAACACCTTTGCTCCAACAAGCTCAGTAAGAGTTTCATTCTTGACTTACTAGCGCAGCTCTGTTGAGTGACAAATCATGGTCAGTGAGAACAAGGGGAGAAGTCTTAGAGGGTGCTTTCTAATTATCCACATCCCGATCTGTGAGTCTAGGTCTTCTGTAAGGCACTGTTCTAGGTGGTGCGCCTCACCAGTGAACAGAACACCCAAGATCCCTGCTTTGAAAGAACTTACACTGTAGTAGGGGGAGACCGATGATCCTAAACAACAAACATGTTAGTAAATTATATGGTGTGTTAACAGGAGAGGTGTAGTATGAAAAAAGAAAAAGCGGAGTAAGGAAGATCAGGACTGGCAGGGACTGGAGTTTTCAAGAGGTCAAAGGAGGTTTGACCACTGATTCGGTGAGACTTGAACAAAAGCCTGAGGAAGTGAGGCTTGGAGCTCCCAGGACCCCAGCAGCACTAGCTGGCGGCTCTGGGCAAGAATCCTTCTGGCCTCCCACAAATACATGAGAGGTCTGTCTCAGACCGTAAGAACAGTCACCTCTGGAAACTGCTGGAGAACAAGACTTCTGGCAACATCCCTCTCTCTGCTAGCAGCAAAGCTGACAAAAACAGGGAAATACTGTAGCAAATATTAAATTAGTAGTTCTAAAACTTGAAATCTTATTTAAAACTGCTAGAAATCATAACGCACAATTTAGACATTTTGCCATAAACTAGCCCATATATGGTTTACGTAGCAAAGCTATCAGGCTTGCTATTCACAGTTGGTCCATAATATGTATTCAATGTCAGGTATTGAGGAAATGAGAAAAAAATCCTAACCTCTGGGAAGAAAACTGGGAAATAACTGGATACACATTACCTTAAGACCTGTCTCTGGAAAGTGTCCAGTTTCCCCGGCCTGCAGTAGAAAGCCTGTCCTCAGCCCGCCCCACCTACCCCGTGCTGGGCAACCCCCCCGCCCCCGGCCACCTCATGCTGCTTTCGACATGGGATAAAACACCTGTTCCTGTTTCAAGGGTCACCTCCGTTCCTGATCACCTCTCAGGCTGAGGTGGCCACTCCCACTCTCTGGCCCCAGACACACACCTGGCATAGAGCTTATTTATCTAATATGTGTGTTTTCCCCTCGACTAGAATGTCAACCTCTTAAGGACTGGCACTTTGTCCCTTCTGTGTTGGTGTCCCAGGGCCCGGCACATATATAGTAGGTTCTTAATGATATGGCCATTATGAATGCATTCCTTATTTGTTACCTGATTTGTTATCAAACGGCTTTAAAAGAAGATTCTACTTATTAGGAATACCTAATGCTACAGGTCTGGAGGCAGGGGAACTGGTACAGTTTGCTGAGGAAGTTAACAGAGATCTTGCCTCGTAAGTGACAGTGATCCCTAATCTTTCCTCCTCCCTCTGAGGGCAACTCTCTGCAATGGGCAGCACGATCGTGGGGCCTTTACTACAAATGACCTGCTGGGCTCCGTTGCTCACTGAATTTTCCTTGGCCAATAAATCCATCTATTTCTAGGGGCGCCTGGTGGCTCAGTCATTAAGCGACTGCCTTCGGCTCAGGTCATGATCCTGGAGTCCCGGGATCGAGTCCCGCATCAGGCTCTCCACTCAGCGAGGAGTCTGCTTCTCCCTCTGACCCTCTCCCCTCTCATGCACTCTCTCTCTGTCATTCTCTCTCTCAAATGAATAAAATCTTAAAAAAAAAAAAGAATCCATCTATTTCTAAATCCTTTCTGCTTCCCTCCTCATTCAGGAATCTACAGCCATTCCTTAAAAAAAAAAAAAGTTATTCCTGTCCATTACCCCACCAGAGAATGCAGTCGCTCCCTGCAGAATAACCAGGCAGCCTCCCTACAAGCCAGGCACTTAGAATCACAGGAATTTAGATCTATGAGGCCACTTCCTCAGAAGCCTGCCCTTTCTCTTTTGTTGTTCACAGGATTCAACTGTATTTAATTGAGTACAGTTGAATACAGGCCAGTCCAGGGCCGGGATGAACTGTATTTGGGGTAAGCAAATTCTCTGGTACGGAGTGGATACATGAGGTGGTTTCGGCCAATGAGACAAAAGGAAGTCTGCTAGGGTACTTCCAGGAAAGATTTTACTTTTTTTTTTTTTTTTTAAGATTTTATTTATTTATTTGACAGCGAGAGAGGGAACACAAGCAGGGGGGAGTGGGAGAGGGAGAAGCAGGCCCCCCGCTGAGCAGGGAGCCCGATGTAGGGCTCGATCCCAGGACCCCGGGATCATGACCTGAGCCGAAGGCAGACGCTTAACAACTGAGCCACCCAGGCACCCCGAAAGATTTTACTTCTTGATAAAAGGAGAGAGACCCATGAGGAGGGCTCTTCCCCCTCGCCCATCCCTTTTTGCTTTTGATGCTCTGATGGGAGGCCGTGATGCCTAAAGCTGCAGCAACCATCTTGTGACCATGAGGGGCTAGCCTGGAGACAAAGCAACGGCAAAGAAGAAGGAAGGAAAGAGCCCGGGTCTTTCACGACCTCTCTGAACCACTGCACCAACCCTAGAACCATCATGGCTCCACATTCGAGTTCAAGAAATCATTAAATGTCTTGATTGCTTAAGCCACTGTTAACCAGCAGCCAAAAGCATACAAACTGGAAGGGACTTTTCTCTCTTCTAATCAAAACTCTCTTATTTCACAAATGAGGGAACAGAGATACAAAGTCTTTGAGTAACAAAAGCAATAAAAGAACCAGAGACCAAAGCTAGGTCAGGACTCTCAACCTGTGTTCCTTGTACCACATTATGCTGGGGCTTATTTTACTTGACTTTTTTTTTTTTTTTAAAGCAACATTAGACACTGTACATGGAGGGATCACAGGGGGTAGCTTCCCACCAGAGCTCAGAACAACAACCGGAATCCACCTACATCTGAACTCAAAACTGCTGGATCCTGCATGTGTGAAAAACTACTTTTATGCTCAACTGACTTAAAGCAGGTGAGTCCATCAGGGGAGCAGCTGCTCATCACTTTGTGAACCCCCCCCAAATACAGCTTTTTTCCCCGTTGGTTCATTATTTCATTCAGAGCTCTTCCTTCGGACCAGGCCCTCTGTTAATCACTGGAAACATAATCACAGCCCTCCTGGGTTGTAAAGCAAACGAGAGAGAAAGTAAACAAGTTGGGCGCCTGGGTGGCTCCGTCGTTAAGCATCTGCCTTCGGCTCAGGTCATGATCCCAGGGTCCTGGGATCGAGTCCTGCATCGGACTCCCTGCTCAGCGGGAAGCCTGCTTCTCCCTCTCCCACTCCCCCTGCTTGTGTTCCCTCTCTTGCTGTCTCTCTCCCTCTGTTGAAAAATAAATAAAACCTTAAAAGAAAAAAAAAGAAACAAGTAAACACACAAACGTGTCATTACAAATCAGAATGAGTTTAGCCACACCAAAATGAATAGGATGCAGGTAAGAGAAAAACAGGAAGACTTTGGACAGAGGATGCTGGAAAGGCCTCTTAAGCAAAGCTAGGTTCAGAAGGAGTAAAAAATTACAAGAGTGAGGGCTCCTGGGTGGCTCAGTCGTTAAGCGTCTGCCTTCGGCTCAGGTCATGATCCCAGGGTCCTGGGATCGAGCCCTACATCGGGCTCCCTGCTCCGCAGGAAGCCTGCTTCTCCCTCTCCCCCTTCCCCTGCTTGTGTTCCCTTTCTCGCTGTGTCTCTGTCAAATAAATAAAATCTTAAAAAAAAAAATTAGAAGAGTGGAGAGGAGAGCATTCTAGTCAGAACAGCATGATAAGGCTTTCAGACAGGAAAGGATTGTACTTCCCTAAAGAAGCAAAAGGAACTGAGTGACCTAAGACGAGGCAGGGGCCAGCTCATAGGCCATGGGAAGGAATCTAAATTTTGATATTCCAAGTGCAGTGGGAAACTGTTGAAGACTTATTTTAAGCAAGGGAATGGTGCCGATTTATGTTTTGTAAAGCCCACGGTATGGAGACTGAATTTTAGGGAAGAAGAAAAGCAGATCAATTAGGAAACTCTTTTGGTGGTGCATTCAAGAGAAACTGTTGACGTGGACCAGGGTGACAGCAAAGATGGTGCCGACAGATCTGCCCTTTGGAGGGAGAACCAACAGGTCCTGAAAACGGGTTGGATGTAGGAAGATGAAAAATTGCGGATGGGGGCGCCTGGGTGGCTCAGTCGTTAAGCGTCTGCCTTCGGCTCAGGTCATGATCCCAGGGTCCTGGGATCGAGCTCCGCATCGGGCTCCCTGCTCCGCAGGAAGCCTGCTTCTCCCTCTCCCACTCCCCCTGCTTGTGTTTCCTCTCTCGCTGTGTCTCTCTGTCAAATAAATAAATAAAATCTTTAAAAAAAAAAAATTGCGGATGATTCCTAGGACTTTTCCCCTCCCATGCACTAATGTTTTTTAATTCGTTACACGGAAACAGTATCAAGGGGATTAAGGGCAAGAGAATGCTGAATGTTAGTATCCTGATGAAAACGATCCCGAGAGAGAGAGAAGACGTACAAAAAAGGCCAGACTATTAAAGCGGCTGAGAATCTGAGGAGGTTGGAGGATGTGGGTCCAGGGCTCGTGTGGAGGGACACGCCGCTGTGGCAGAAGGAAGGAGGAGGACAAGGCCAGGGCAGGAGGGGGAGGGCCCGGTGGCTAGAAGACCTTTGAGAGCTGTGGTCACCTCAGCCACGGAAGAAAAGCCATCCCCCGAGGGAGCGGGGAGGCCGAGGTGTCTCAGCGAGGGCAAGAGGAACTTGCTAGAACTATGTGGTGGGATGCCTGCCTCTGTGGTTCTGACAGCGCGGCAGCCCCTGTTGAGGATGAGGTGCAGGCCGACCCGTGGAAGTGCGAGGCCGAGGAAGAGTGAGAAAGACAGGAGCGCAGACCAGGGTGCGGACGCTTGGGCTGGGTGGCAGGTGCGGCGGGCGCGCACAAGGGCGGCAGGGGGTGGGGGCTGCGTGTCCGGACAACGGGAACATCAAAGGTGCGTGTCTTTTGCGGGAGGGAACGGGACACGACTAGGGAAAGGAGGGTGGAGAGAACCAAGAGGAAGCGCTAAAATACTCGGCTAAAGAGGAGACTAAATCCGCATCTCCATTTTCATCTTTAATGTGCCAAGAGTACTTGACACTTTAAAGGAGAAAAAAAAGAAAAGTTCATCATTCCTTTCTTCATCTAAAACAAGGTTTCCTCCCTCATTTCCTCCTAACTGGTAGATCGTTTCCCACTCTGGCAGCCTTTGAACCACATGATCGAAGTCCTGGGGCCCCGCGCCTGCAGACCCGCTCCCCCCAGCCGTGACACTGGGCCCGCGCCGCCGACGCACCTCCTCCAGGCGGCCTTCCCGTCGCGCTCAGACCGTGCCTCTCAGGTCACAGCTGGGCTCGCTCCAGTCTACAGACGTGGAAACCGAGGCTCAGAGGGCTTACGTTATTGGCCTGCTGCCCCGAACTGCAGTCAGGACACAAACTCCATCTAACGTGACTCCAGTTTGGCCACAAGTAGTCCTTTCCCTGCTCGGGACCGGATGGCTCCTCTCCCCAGTCCCGGCTCCCGCCTCCGCCGGTCACTGAGCCACAGGCCCACCTCGGGGGCAGCCGCTTCGCTTTCCTCCCCGCACACATCTGCCCTTGCCGGAGCTGCTCGCTGGCGCCAGGGACCTCCCCTCCGGAGCTGGCCACGAGGGAATGGAGGGCTTGAAGCAAGAGGCCCCCACCACTTTCTTGGTAAGCAGTCCTTAAAAGGCAGCGCAGAGACTTCCTTTACTCTGCTGGAGGAACAGCCAGACCCACGGGAGAAGCATGGGCTGCAAAGACAAAAACGTTTACGCGGGCACTCCAGCTCCGTAATGGCACACGGTGTCCCCGAGACCCATGCCCGGGCCCAGGCCCCGATGGGAGATAGTCGGGGATGCTGGAGAAAGCAGGCAGGTGTCCCCGCACCAAGCAGGATGCTACCAGGGATGACCCCTGGGCTCCCTGGCGTCTCACGAAGGCTCTAGTAACCTCCTGCCCTGTCCTCTCACCTCCTCCTTGCAGCCGTTGTGGCCCCGTCCCCTTCCAGAATGCCTGTCTCCTTCCCTGGCCCCACCTCCGGCCTGCGGATTCCGTGCTTTCCTCCCTCTACACCAGCGGCTCCCACAACATCCTCCTGCGCGCGCACGCGCGTGTGTCCCCAAAACATTCCCGAAAGGCAGGGGTCAAGTTTTTCCCCTCCATCTGCCCCTATGCCAGTCTCTGCCCGGCTGGGGGGGGGGGGGGGGCACCGAGCATGACAGTGAGGCTGAGGAAGCCGGACATAGGTCCCCAATGTAGGAGGTGTCAATAAAATGTAGAGATGACTAAAGGAAGCATAAGCAGCTTTATTATCCCAAACAAGCCCAAGCAATCCTCTCCCACACAAAAGGGGTGTTCTGGGAAAGTCCTGGCTCTGCTGCTCTCTGCTGGACACGGGGCTGGGCTGTGACCCACCCGTTCTCCCTCGAAGGGGCTCATTAGCTAAGGAGATTGACAGAAAAACGGTCACAAGGAGGGACTCAACAAAGGGAACAGTGTGGACACTGAGGTTACATAAGGCAAAGCGGAATCGCCAAGTTCCGCACAACAAGGGCTGGCCTATTTCTGGGGCAGGGTCTCCTCCCTCCCGGGCTCTGCCACCCTCCGCTCAGGCCAGGCCGCCTTCTTGGCCTTAGAAATCAGGATTCCCAGCTCCCGGGTGCTCTGAGATCAACATATGCCCTTGGGTGGCTGCCCTGGTGGAGGGGAGGGGGGGAGGGAGGGCTGCACTCTGGCGGCGGAGAAATGGGGACAAAAGCGGCTGCAGAACCCACCCCCATGGCTGCCGGGGCTTTTAACAGAGAGAGAAGGTGTTCAAAGCACTTTATGGACGCACAGCTCTAGGGAGATGTGTGTGGAGTCCTGTCGCATTGTATTCCTAATACAAACATTTCTGCTTTAGAGCATGTGAATATACACTTTAGGAAAACTTCATGTTCCCTAAAAGTGCCCACAAATGATAACAGGATGTATATCGAAATTGGGTTAGGACAGACCCCCTCAAAACCTATAAAATGTCATAACCAGAACACTAACGACTCGGAGCACCCGAGCAAGCAGCTCGGCGGGGCTGGAGGCTGCCACAGTGAATATTAAAAATGCACTCAAAAAATCTAGTGGAAATTCTGGCAAAACCTGAATTAGAGCAAGGCTGGGAAGTGCCAGGACGAGGCTGATGAAAGAGCTGTCCAGAGCCAGGGGGCTGTAATTAAGCAGCGCACGGTGGGCCAGGCTGGGAGACGGCTTTCGAAAGAAGCCAGCCCAGATGGGTTTTTTCTTCCTCCCTGTTCCCCTTTGGGCTCCTGCGCCACAGCCGTTGAACAGAGGGCTTTTTCCTTTCCTGCTGATAGCTACTCCCACGATCCCAAGCCCTTCCACCGGGGCCAAACCATGGATGAACCAAAGCAGTCTGCAGGGGACCAGCATTCTCCCCCTCTCCACCCATGACACGTGCACGAGCTCACATTACAGAAGTTCACAGGGAAGCAGACCAGTGTGTCCTGAGGTGCTGCGCCGTGCTCCCCAGGGACCCCCCGATCCCCACGGCGCCCCTTCCCCAAACCTCCCACATAACCATATTTTGTGTCTCCTTCCACCGAAGCACGCGCTCCTTAATGGCAAGACTCCATCTCGCTCACTGCTGAATCCAAAGCACCAACCGTGGGCTGGGCACACAAGTGCTGAACGGGAGCCTGAATTTACAAGAGAACAGGACTCTGGTCTTAATCACACAGACATGTTTAACGGCCACTCGGTAGCTCTAAGCGAAACAAGGCAGGGGGCATGGGAACGTGTCTGGCTTGAGCTTCAGCCTATAGTTCACAAGAAGCGATCTGCAGAAAAGGGACGTCTTTGTGCTGAGTAGCTGCTTCAGCTTTCTCATGGAACCAAACGAAAAGGGTTTGTGAATGGGTGTCATGGGGGCGCCTGGGTGGCTCAGTCGTTAAGCGTCTGCCTTCGGCTCAGGTCATGATCCCGGGGTCCTGGGACCGAGCCCCGCATCGGGCTCCCTGCTCGGCGGGAGGCCTGCTTCTCCATCTCCCACTCCCCCTGCTTGTGTTCCCTTTCTCGCTGTGTCTCTGTCAAATAAATAAAATTTTGTAAAAAAAAAAGTTTTTTTTAAATAAAAAAAAGTTGTCATGGACAGAAAAACAGAGAATCTGAATGGCACTGTCTCTATTAAAGAAAGAGAATACACAGCCACAAAGCTTCCCAAGAAGGACACTTAAGACCAGGATGACTTAAAAAAAAAAAAAAAAAGACCAGGATGACTTCACTAATGAATTCTATCAAACTTTTGAGAAACACATAAAATCATTCGTTCGCAAAAAGAGTAGACACCATTTGGTTCTACGTACATGTATTTCAGGTCTGGGAGCGGGAAGGTCTCTCGGTGACCATTTGTGGTAAATGCACAGAGGGCTCTCTGCCTTGTCCCCACCGTCTGTGACGGTCCTAGCTCTAGTGTGGGGGGCAGCCCGACATAAGGACAGCACCTGCCTACGTGCCCGGTGACAGCTGTGGTCACCAGAGCCTACCTTCAGGCCAAGTGCTTCCAAGGAGGCCAGGACCCTCAGCTACTCCGGCTCCTGGCGGCGGGGGTTCTCATCTACTCTAACAGGTTCGGACTTGGCTGAATCCCAGCGGCCGACCTGGCAGGGGCCTGAGCTGGGCCCACTGCTGCATGTACAGATAGCTGGACAGGATGCCACTTGTCCTTTGCAGTCACCCGAGAACGATGGAGGAAGAATGCAGGTGGCTGAAAAGAAAGCCGTCAGCACTCCCCACCAGCCTCCTACGGCTAGGAGACAGTCCACCGTGGTCTGACGGTGATTCAACCCACTGAGATTGAAGATGGGGACCAGGACCGGGTCTCCCAGAGTTCACCTTGGAGGCTGTTTTTTTGGTGAGTCTCACATTTTGGTTTTCATGTATCGGGGGGGACTCGGGGACAGCCCGCGGTTTGCTGGGCTCCAGACTCTGATTTTCTTTTTTTTTTTTTTTAAGATTTTGTTTATTTATTTGAGAGAGAGAATGAGATAGAGAGAGCATGAGAGGGGGGAGGGTCAGAGGGAGAAGGAGACTCCATGCTGAGCAGGGAGCCCGACGCGGGGCTCGATCCCAGGACCCCGGGATCATGACCTGAGCCGAAGGCAGTGGCTTAACCAACTGAGCCACCCAGGCGCCCCCAGACTCTGATTTTCAAATGAAGTAAGAGGCGCTAAGAGAAAGGACCCCTGCCTGAAACCAAACCAGAGAATAAAAAGATACCTTGTCTTCTCCCCCATAAAGTACCTCCCACACTGTGCCATCAGGAGGCACGTAATATCGATATGTCCCATTACTGATGATGTTAGCTTGGATCACCTGGTTACCATGGTTTCTGCCAGGTTTCTGCACTGTAACGATTTTTCCCTTTGGATTTAGCAGATCTCTTGGAAAAGGTACTTTGAGACTACATATCTTGCTCCTCATCAGACTTTGACCAATGAGTTTTAGCACCTATTGATGATTCTTGCCTGAACGAGTTATTACTATGGTAGTTGCCAAATGATGATTCGCTTACCTCAAGCATTCCTACTCATTAATGAGATGGCATCCTCCTGTAAGCAAGAGTTCTTCCGACTCATTATTTAAAAAAGGGAAACTCTCCTAGTTCTTTCACTGTGAGGGCCTAGCAGAAAGGACGCTCCGGGGGTAATGAACACACTGACCCAAATCTTGGTTTCTAAATACCATTCTCCACTGAAAGGAAACGGCGCTCCTTGGAGAAATGGCTGATTCCAAAGCCGAAAACACAATGTGAGCTTGCAAAACCTTCCCGTGACAGAAAGTAAGGAAGTGCTCAAAAAACTGATGGGAACGCTTCTCGAAGTGAACTTGAGTGGGCTCCACTGGCTCATTTTGGGCATCAAAATGAGAAACACACACAGATTAGAACACATTGAATGAAAATAAAACCCCATAAGTCCATTCTGATACTTAAAAAAATAATTTTTAAGGAGGAGCAGGGAGAAGCTAAAACTCTTTTTTATGAAGAACGCCAACTGATCAAGATGGAAGGAATGAAAAGAAAGAAAACTGCCGTTTTACATGGTAATAACTGACTCAGGCAAGAGTCATCGGTGGGGAAAACATACCCTTCCAGTGCCTGAGCTCTGGCAGACACAGCTGTAACCAAGTGATCAGAGTAAGACCCCAACAATGGGACACATAGAGATGGCACGCCTTCTCGCGTGATGGATCCAAACGGACATAACATCAGGTAGAGAGTATTTGTCCAGGGAGAGAGCTGGGACCTTATCCTAAGGCACTGGGAGTATTAGGTAAAGGAAGGAGGGGCCATCAGGTTTTTGTTTTAGAAAGACCGCTGTCTTGTAACGAATGGGCTAGGAGGGCAAGCTCGGATGCGGAGAGACCAGATGTGAGACTAGATGGGACCAAAGAGAAGTGACTGGGGAAGGATATAAGAAACCCAAATTGGAAAAAAAAAAAAAAAAAAAGTAACTGAGAGGACCTGTTCTGTAACATCTTTCAATAAAGCTTTAAAGTTCTCTATGTTAAATAAATAAATAAACAAATAAATAAATAAAGCAGCTGAGGTTTATCCAGATGGTGTTTTTTCTGTAGACCTACATCGTTGGGAACGCCTCATACAGAACACGTGTGGTTTCCTTTATTCACAGAACTATGTGTTAGATCCGTGGAAAAGAACTACAGGACATGATCGTCTAAAACTATGAAAGACCTAACAGTCACATTTTTTAAACCTCAGGCATTGGCCAATTCCTACAATCTGCAATTCTAGGGTGTGACAGTCTAGGGGGTGTCTGAAGTTGAGAAGCAGGCAGATCCATCTACTCTGACCCTAAACGTGGCCCTAAAGTAAAGAAAGTGGATCCCAAAGATTACAGGTGGGGAATTTCTGAAATATGTCCATATTCAAGTAGAGATCAAAGACGCCCAAGTGAAAGAATTGTGGACTGACAGTGACAACCATGGATTGAACAAAAATTTTATTTATTTATTTAGAGAGCGAGCATGCATGTGCAAGCAGGGGGAGGGGCAGAGGGAGAGAGAGAGAGAGAGAGAGAGAGAACCTCAAGAAGGTTCCACGCTTAGGGCAGAGCCTGACCCGAGCCAAAATCAAGAGTCAGACACTTAACCCACTGAGCCACCCAGGTGCCCCAAAAGTTCTTTTCAAAAGGACTATTTTAAAGATTATGATTCTGACTTTGGAGGAACTTAGGTGATTGGCAGTGGAAAGAATCATATATAAAATTCCTTAAATAAAAATTTATTGACTTAAAAATATTTTTTATAGGAAATCTTTTCCTTTAGTTTTTTTTTAATATTTTATTTATTTATCTGAGAGAGAGAAAGCACGCATGAGCAGGGGGAGGGGCAGAGGGAGAAGCAGACTCTTCACTGAGCTGGGAGCCCAGGACTCTGGGATCATGACCTGAGCCGAAGGCAGATGCTTAACCGACTGAGCCACCCGGGTGCCCACCCCTCCAAAACTTTTTTAATTAAAAAAAAAAAAAAAAGCAGATTTGACAGTGGTATTGAAATCAGCATTGGAAATCGAGAGGTCATCTACAGAAAGCCGCTCTGGGACGTCTGTGGGTGGTAGGATTGCAGCAAAACAATCAGTAAACCAAGAAGGTGAGGCTCAGAGAGGGGCGAGGAACCTGAGTACGTTCAGTGAGGGAAAGAGCCTGCAGAGGAAAGAGGCTGCCATGCAAGAGGCTGGGGAAATGAACAATGCTGGAGCCCCACAAAACTGGAGGAGGTGGCCCCAGAGCCAGCGTGGAAGGACCACCCGGCCCAAACTCCCCAAGCTGCAAGCTCAACCACCTACTGTATCACTTGGCCATAACCTGTGCGCTTCCCCGAAGGCCCCATGTGTGGGAGGACGGGGTCACTCTGGACTCCTCCCTTCCCTGTCATGCCCAACATCCAACCAAGTCAGCAAGTTCTCTGGAACCTGTTCCCAAAGATCCCGTCTTCTAGCCCCAAGATTCTCAGTGTGTGGAGTCAGTAGAGATCCATGCGCAATCACATAGGCTGACCACATAGTTCACACCCTGAGTCCACCCTGCCTGGCCCGACCCGCCACGTCTCTGGTCCTTGTTCGCGGACTATGGTCGGAGGGCCCATACTTGGTCCTTAGGATTCTTTCCTGTCCTGGTCTCTTGGCGATGAGGCTTCACCTGTGACCCCTCTCTGCCTCAAACTCTGCCAGACCTCTTGGCTGGCTTCAGACATCAACCATCCCCAGTGCAGAAGTCCCGAGCTTATGCATCTCGACTATCTCTAGGCTCCGCCTCCATTTACACGGCCCCTGCCCTGGTCACGCTTTCTTCCTTCACACCTACAGGACAGCTGGGCAACTTTACCCAATCTTGTCGCCTCCCATCCATCCCCCTTGCTGTCCGCCAGAGTGCCCGTTCTATAATGCAAACCTGACCACATCAAACTCCTGATGAAATTCCTACACTGGCCTTCCAGGTCCCACTTAGTTATCACTTCTCAGAAAAATCCCATTTAAATGACAGTAGAGAAACAGAGAAGGAAAATAACTCATAACCATCCTAAAAGTAGAAGTGGAGGGTAATAGCAGCAAACCAGAGATTTTAAGGAGTTTCCAGAAACCAGAGGGCACGCAGGATCATCAGGATGGGGAAGGGCCCTACATCAGAAACAGGGAGGGCCAGGAAGAGAAGCTCCAGTCCAGTAGCCAGCAGGTGCCAGAATGGGATTTAGAGGAGAAATGGAAATCAAGGGAAAGACCGCCTGTGCACCAGCTTTGTGGGCTGTCTCACTCTTCTGTTCATTGTCCCCCCATCTCCCATGGAGCATGGACCCCCTTCACCCCCCACCCTCTCCCCAAGCTGCAGCATGAGACCTCGCGATGGAAGAGGGGATGGGAGGAAGTTCTGATTACATACACTTTGTGCCACGTGAAGGAGTCTGAACCATGCGAATCCAAAAAAGGTTTTTTTCAAAACCGACTCAAAAATTGTTAACCTCAAATCAAAAGTAAAAATATGAATGCTAACATTCAAAAAAACTATAGAGAAACTAGGGAGGGAAAGTCAAGGAATTCTTCCAGAGGAGAATAAAAAGCTAAAGTGCTGGAAACTCATATATAAGAGAACTTTTAGGAGACAAAGATCAGGGGTGCCCAGGTGGCCCGGTCGGTTAAGCGTCTGCCTTCGACTCATGAGGGTCATGATCCCAGGGTTCTGGGATCGAGCCCCACATTGGGCTCCCTGCTCAGCATGGAGTCTGCTTCTCCCTCTCCCTCTGCCGCTCCCCCTGCTTGTGCTCTCTCTCTCTGTCAAATAAATAAATCTTTAAAAAAAAAAAAAAAAGAGGGGCGCCTGGGTGGCTTGGTCGTTAAGCGTCTGCCTTCAGCTCAGGTCATGATTTCAGGGTCCTGGGATTGAGCCCCGCATCAGGCTCCCTGCTCAGCATGGAGTCTGCTTCTCCTTCTCCCTCTGCCGGTCCCCCTGCTTGTGCTCTCTCTGTCAAATAAATACATAAATAAATAAATCTTAAAAAAAAGAGAGACAAAGATCAGTCAAGGAGGGGAAGTCTCCACCCATCGATTACAACTCCCAGAAGGAAAGAACAGAGAAAGGGGAGATAAGAATATGATCAAGAATGTTCTATAGTTTTCTCAGTACAGATCCTTTGCCTCTTTGGTTGAGTTTGTTGAGGAAGACACAAAGAAATGGAAAAACGGGGGCACCTGGGTGGCTCAGTCATTGGGCGTCTGCCTTCATCTCAGGTCATGATCCCAGCGTCCTGGGGTCGAGCCCCACATCGGGCTCCCTGCTTGGCGGGAAACCTGCTTCTCCCTCTCCCACTCTCCCTGCTTGTGTTCCCTCTCGCACTGTGTCTCTATCTGTCAAATAATTAAATAAAATCTTTAAAAAAAAAATGGGCAGAAGACATTAACAGACATTTCTGCAAAGAAGACATTTAATGCCCAACAGACACATGAAAAAATGCTCAACATCGCTCAGCATCAGGGAAATACAAATCAAAAACCTCAATGAGATACCACCTCACACCAGTCAGAATGGCTAAAATTAACAAGTCAGGAAACGACAGATGTTGGCGGGGATGCAGAGAAAGGGGAACCCTCCTACACTGTTGGTGGGAATGCAAGCTGGTGCAGCCACTCTGGAAAACAGTATGGAGGTTCCTCAAAAAGTTGAAAATAGAGCTACCATATGATCCAGCAATTGCACTACTGGGTATTTACCCCAAAGATACAAAAGTAGGGATCCGAAAGGGTACGTGCACCCCGATGTTTATAGCAGCAATGTCCACAATAGCCAAACTGTGGAAAGAGCCAAGATGTCCATAGACAGATGAATGGATAAAGAAGATGTGGTGTATACACACACACACACACACACACACACACACACACACACACACACAATGGAATATTATGCAGCCATCAAAAGGAATGAGATCTTGCCATTTGCAACGACGTGGATGGAACTGGAGGGTATTATGCTGAGCGAAATAAGTCAATCAGAGAAAGACATGTATCATATGACCTCACTGAGGAGGAATTCTTAATCTCAGGAAACAAACTGAGGGTTGCTGGAGTGGGGGGTGGGGTGGGAGGGATGGGGTGACTGGGTGATAGACACTGGGGAGGGTATGTGCTCTGGTAAGCGCTGTGAATTGTGCAAGACTGTTGAATCTCAGATCTGTACCTCTGAAACAAATAATGCAATATATGTTAAGGAAAAAAAAAAAAGATAGGAGGGGAAGAATGAAGCGGGGGAAATCGGAGGGGTTGACGAACCATGAGAGACGATGGACTCTCAAAAACGAACTGAGGGTTCTAGAGGGGAGGGGGGTGGGAGGATGGGTTAGCCTGGTGATGGGTATTGAGGAGGGCACATTCTGCATGGAGCACTGGGTGTTATGGACAAACAAGGAATCATGGAACACTACATCTAAAACTAATGATGTAATGTATGGGGATTAACATAACAATAAAAAATTAAAAAAAAAAAAAGAACAAGCCCCTCCTGGGAGTCAAAGAGCTCATGCCCGGGGCAGAAAGAGACCATAACCCACGACCAGGTAAAGACCTACTTTAGGGCCAAGTCAGTGATAAATGAAGGCAGGGGCCGGGAGAAGGCTCTTCAGACTGGCCTGGGGAAAAGAGCCTGGGCCCCCGTGAGGCTGTGGTGGGCGAGGCGGGGAGGGGACAAGGTGGGTGGGCAGAGGCCAGGTCGTGGTGCCACATTGGCATTTTACTCCTAGGCGCCACGGCCCGGAGTTAAGCAGGGGAACGAGGCGATCTGATTTAAGACTCAAATCCTCGTCTCTGGCAGCATTCTGGAGAATGGCTACGGGGGAGCCGGGGCAGATGAGGCGGGGATCCCAGGAGCTGGCCCAGGGGCCGCTGGGAGGACATGTGTGGTGAGGTCCAAGAAGGGACCGTCAGATTCGACCCACAGGAGGTAAACTGAGCGGAAGACTCGCTGGAGAAGCTCAGGGCGGAGGGCCACAAAGGACTCCACTGGGGGTGGGGGCGGGAGTGGATTTCAGGGCATCCTGAAAGGGCCCCAAGCCTGATGGCTCGAAACTATTTATCCCCTCAAAGTGCTCGAGGCTAAAGCCTGCAAGCCAGGCGGCAGGGCCGTGCTCCCCGCCAGAGGCTCTAGGGCCCGAGCCTCTAGGGCCCGA